ATTATTTTATTCGTGATACATATGAAAATCCATCGAGTTTCCTCACTTGTGTATGATGGTATGCTACTATAATGTAACCACCAATGTAGTTTATTGACTAACACAAGTCAGTTACTATGGTAATTGTGCACAGTCCTGGAGTGCCCTGTCAATAGCTGCTTCTATACGTGACTATGTGTAAAGTTGAGATATACGTATATAATAATATTCATATATATTTATATACACACACACACGTGAAATGTTGTACATACGTTTGAAACTTTGTACAAAGTTATTCATGAGTGTCGTATAACATAAATGAATCAATTACTGAGAACACAACTGGTAGACATTATAATTATAATAAAATAACTTGATATTACTCTTAAGACATTGAGTTACAAATTTAACCGAGATTACTGGACTGTGAAACATTATTTGAAGACACATGCCTGTTGTTTTCTATGTACTGAAAATGTATCAGAAAAAGTTGAAAAGGAAAGAAGATGATGGTGTTAATGAATCTTCACGGTCAGAAAAATCTAGATTAGCACCTGCATGGTGGTCAACCTATTTTAGTTGCTAGTGCGAGTTCCTGACTTGACCGTCTTTGCCTCTTTTTTTCTAATGGGTCCAGGCTTTGTTTGATATAACAAAGAGAAGGTAGTGGAAGAAATGTTGCTGGGTTCCTGGATAGTGTTGGACCATCATAATAACAATTATGACCTCAGAAAGTACAGCTAAATCATTGGTCAACCGCAAGACCTGAGAATGCCGGAGTCGAATGAATTGTTCCCAGGTAGTAGAGATCACATGCACAGGAGCACACATAAGCTTGTAGACACATTGCTTGATCACAATAACAATTTTAATACTTTTTTCTCAATAGAGATTTTACTGTAGAAAATTGTTGTGAGCAGACTTGTTACAGCTTTAACACACACTTTTGGCAGAATTTCTCTGACCAATGAGAGTTCATTTGATCCTGCATTTTCAATCCCGACTTTTCTATTTAAGATACTGACATCAAAGCGTGTTATCTGCATTACTGTGGAATATACTTTTAACGATGGTTATCTTTTTGAATATTTCAAAGTATCCTGTAGCATCAACCACTCCATAGGCTGGCCTTACTTTCACCTTGGTGGAACATTTGGATGAAGTTGTGCTGTTTGGCAACATATTGATGTACAGACTTTGACTGAGGCTGATGACGAGATAGCCCTTAAGTCACCGGACAGAGTTCTAGCAAAGCCACAGAGGAAGGGTCCAACCAGATCATCAGCCATCCAGCAAGTGAAAACTACAAAAAAAGGGAGGGTCAACTGAATACCGCCACTACAGGCGTGTGTGTATTTTGTTAGCTTCTTTATATAATTAGGTCTGATATATATATATGCTTTATTGTACATTTGGTAAAGGGTTATGTAGTGTACATGGGTATATTTAAATAGAGATCTGCTGTACATTTCTTTTTTTTTTTATGTACGTTTTTGATTTTCGGTAAAAGTTGTGTGTGTATTGTGATGTATGATATTATTTTAATGTAGTTTTAAACTATTATCATTGATTTTTTAAACAGTTTATTTTACAATAATTTTGTTCAAGTGTTTCAGTTTGTAGAGGTATTTTTCGCATTAAGTTTGTTTTAAAATTACTTTACGTTTTAATACGTTATAGGATAAGTTTTTGTCATATTTTGAATGTCGTGCAATTTATACGAGTATATTTTATGTTATGTTTAAAGAGTTATTTCTTCAATTTTAAAGGGTTTGCATTACTTTTATATAAATGGTATTTTTTGTAGATATTCTTATTATAAAGGATTGTTTTGTGTGATGTGGGTTTTACTTGCTTTGATAATTGAACTTCAACACATTTCTTTGTTAAAGGGTTTATTGTTAGAATGTATTTCATTATTAAGTGTCTATTGTTGTATAACATCGTTGTTTGCTATTCCCTCTTAAAAGGGTAGATTATATGTGTCAAAGAGGTACTATTTTGCTGTATTTAATTAGTCTTTTGTTTTTACTGAACAGAGGAAAATTCATATTGATTTCTTGGTTGATTTGCAAGTAAATTTTAATTGGATTTTTAATTTCAAAATATTGATGTGGCATTGACCTGATTGTATAGGAGGAGAAATGAGGTACAGAAAAATACCGTATGTCCCGTTGGTATGGCCAGGTGGTTAAGGCGCTCGACTTGTAATCTGAGGGTCGCGGGTTCGAATCCCCGTCACACCAAACCTCCGCCTTTGCCCTAAAATATACAGATGGGTATTCTATTGTTGAATTGGGTAGTGCCCCAAACGCACAGCTTGACCTTGTGCCACACCAAGGGAAGTTTTGGGTCATGTAAGTGATTTTCGAGCCCCGAGTAGCCTGGCTTTGTTTGTTTTGAGTATATCATTCCAGGATCTCCCCTATATCGACAGTTTTGAATTGAGACTTCTGAAGATTTGTGTAAACTTGAGATTTTAATGTTATTTCTTGGTTCTAGATAATAATAATATGTTTGTTTGATTTATTTTGAAATTCTATTAAAGTAGAGTACATGATTTTTGTTTTAACTATAAATTTTAGTTTTCTCTTGATTCAAAGTAGGCTCACACAGAATTGGTGAGAAACAATCAATTAAAGGTATGTTATCTCTCTCTCTCTCTTCGGTGTTTTTCGAGTACACAAAACACTTACCTAGTTTTATTTGCTTTAAATAAAAAATGATACCTAAATATGTGGTCATATCAGATAGCTGGGTGGGCATGTTATCTATGATAATATTAAACAGGAATGGGTCACAACAATGATAATATTTATGATGTTTGGGACCGGACAAAAATGTTATATGATTCTGGACACATTAAGAGTAAGAAAACAATCACTGCATCAGGCAAATTATATGTTGACATCAATATGAAGGACATTGTTAAGAGTAACAATGGTTGAACAAGTCGGTACCAAACTAGTATTTCGGCATATTGGTAAAGGTGAAGAGGGAAGTGAGGTTGAGGCATATTTACTGTTTAAAGAATATAGAGAAGAGGAGAGAATGCCATCTTCTGAGGGACTTTACTCTAGCATGTAGAGTGAAGAACTGGGAAAAAGAGTAGCATTGGTGAAAACAGCTGCATGATGATCATCAAGGGTTGAGCGTATCAGTATGAAATAGTTAATAATAAATAAATATTTTATAGATCTTGGTTTGGTTTGAACTTCGTGCAAAGCTACACGAGGGCTATCTGCGATAGCCCTCCCTAATTTAGCAGTGTAAGACTAAAGGGAAGGTAACTAGTCATCACCACCAACTCTTGGGCTACTCTTTTTACCAACAAATAGTAGGATTGACCGTCACATTATAACGCCCCCACGGCTGAAAGGGCGAGCATGTTTGGTGTGACGGGGATTCAAACCCTCGACCCTTAGCCACCTGGTCATGCCGGGCCTCTTACGCTTGGATACTTTTATAGCCTACAGAACATTTCTTAAACTTTTATGCGAGTTTCTTGTCACCAGATGATATTAACTATGAAGATACTTTTATACAGAAAGTTAACTGCTCTTTGAATATTTCTAATATTAATTTAACACACTTGTATGTTAAATTTCATCTCCTGCTCATTCATTATGATCAATCGTAACTTCTATGTCACCATACTGTCTGGCTAAATAAGTGGCATATCACTCTGCTGGCCCATCATCCTCTTGTATGGATTTAACACACATACATATAAACAACTAGATATATAATGAAGTCAATCCTAGTAATGTGGGCATATGTGAAGTACCACTACTATATGACAATTATTATTGGGGCTTTCAAGGAGTTTCGTCTATTATTACAAACAGTGGAATTTCGTCTAGCCATATTTTTGTACTGATTTTCGTGCATGTAACATTATCATCTTATAAAAATTGAAACTTTCATTATAAGCACTCAAATCTCATGAGGCAAAAAATAAACGTTTGTTTGCTGGTTAATCAAGTGTCAAAAATGTACTACATTAAGTAAAATTGTAAATTACTTAAATGTATTCATTGGATAGCCTTTGAAATTCCTATCAACTGGTTTTTGTAGTTTATAGTTTAACTCATGAAATGAGTATGACAGACGGCTTTGAAGATCTGTGTACAAAAGTCAGATGTTTTGTGTTAACTTTAAATAATTGAGTAAAAATGTTGATTATAATCCTCATATTGCACACTTCGTTACTATTCCTGCACTTATCATGATATGAAACCATAAATTATTGTACTTCATTGTAAGCAGATAGGCCAGATGCACAAAAGTTGTAAAATATCACTTTCTCCAGGTGTTTCGTTTATGGTCATTCATTATTTGTGGAGTTGGGATATTAATTCAAAACTAGAGAGAAAACGCGTGTTTTCTATTTAACTGCACAACATTTATAAAAAGTAAAGGCAGTGTTGTCTATTTAAAGTAATTAATACAGTTAAGTGATTTGTCTAGACTACTCACGTGTGAGGTTAGATATGTAGAGTTCTTAACTAATCTGATGGCTGTGCAGGGAGTCTCAGTGACTGCAAGGTTAAACCTATTCCACAACACATGATACCCTAAAACCTTCTTCCTCTTTTGGCCACGAGCTTTTGAACTATACCAAGTTCATCGACAGATTAGAAAAAAAGACAAAAACGACTTAAACAGATAGAAACTTTACATTTAGAAGTACTCTACCCGACGACTTCACGATGTTTATCTCACGCACCAGTTTATGAATGAGATGATTCTTTATAGTTTCCCTTCATCATTGACCCTAGCTAGAATTTTAAAGAAATTCGATGTGGCAAATACGTAAAAACCTCCGAGGGCATGTTCAACTATACTAGATTTGGTGGTTGATCAGAAATTCGAATGTTCTTTTATGTGTGTTATTAGTTTCCTTTTCGCCAATTTAACTTTGCTGATGGTAAGGAAAAGTTAACTTGCAGAGTACTAAAAACAACTGTAACACAGGAATATGGTCTTTAAACTTGAAAAATGATTGTAGGCGACAATTAGCTTTGAGAAACACCTTAATTGATCTTGAGTATACACTTCGAACGACCGATCTTAGTCGATTCTTCATAACCAAGGGATATTTATCCGTAAACGATAAACAAATAACAATATGGTATTTATACACACTAATTAGAATAACATTACACAAGTTTTTCTAATATAAATATTCACGGAGCATGCTGTTAATCATTTCAGTTTAAAAAAAAAAAACACTTAGCGGAATAGTGTCATCAAAATGACAAACCAATCAACTTATCTCCTAAGAGATACGGCATCTCTGTGTATTTCCTGTTGAAGGCTTATAAGACTAAAACCGGGTTTCGATACCCGTGTCGGGCACAGCACAGATAGTCCAATGTGTAGCTTTATGTTTAACAACAAAACAAAGTTTCTTGTTTTATTTTAAGTCTGTTCTGCTAAAGAATATATATTCATATTTAACGTAACTAAAACTTGCATTTGTCTAAACGTTCTGATTTTAGTTTATTTAACATCACTTATGATTTGCATCTCACGAATTAATATTATTCTTTTTTTTCTATTAATATGTGCATGAATTAGCTTTTTGTGAAAGCAAGAACAATTAACTGATGCAACTAGTTTATTTAATTCGAACATCTTTACCTGTTCTAAATACGTTTAATATTCTGGGTTGTTTGAAATCATGGTTACAGTGTTCGTGACTTTTTTTAAATTCAAAAGCAATATCAAAATATTTATATTTTAGATTTTAATATAAGCTTTTGAATATATTATACAGAACTTACTTTTTGTGCATGTAATTCTTACTAAATTCATATACATCATCTAGTAATCTAGTACTCACAAACTCCTCAACAACTGTATCTTTATCTTTTAGTATAGTTTATTATGGTTATTAGGGTTCACGATAAGTTTGAATACTTTCTATTATATAAAAATGCTATTTTTTTAGCTCACGATATTTGTTTCCGACATGACTTGTATGAACAGTGTTTACTGAAGTATACCAATGAATTGTACCAAGCTTTGTTCTAAGTAACTGTTAGTGTTGAACAACTGCAATTCGAAAAACTTAATAACAAATCATAAGGACTAAAACACTGTCCCATACATGCTTATCTTGGCCTTCAACTACGAAATATTATGCAAATTAGTTCAGGGATACGTGTATGCACTAGAAATAAACTTAAAGAATATGACTTAAAGAATAATTTTCAAAAAAATTTGGCGTTCAAATAATTAGTATCTATTTCTTAAACTTCAGTTTACTGTGCTATTACTTTACTGTGAAACACATGAGAATTTAATATTTCCCAAAAAAATTCAAGCATAAAACAAACTTAAAACTGAACACAATAAAATCTTAACAATATAAAGATAACGTTTTGTGTCACTTCAGATATCAGACACCAATCAACTTCGGGATCGCAACCAATCATGTCTGTTGCTCAGTTGCTCGTGCCTTGAAATTCCATTATGGAAGACGACCTGCATTTTGGACAGTTCTGTATATCCATCAGATGTATGGTGAATGGATGGGCAGAGCAAGGCTGACTCTTGCGTCCCTGACATACATGACTACACACACAACAGATGACTTTTCCAAGCGGACGATTACAGTTACATTGAATATTTTGTTTTTCTGCAATCTAGGTGAAATACAACGTTAAGAGTTACGCACAAACACATAAAATACCTATATATATATATGTGTTAAAAAGATAAATTTTATATCTATAAAAAGAATTTTTCAAATCATGAAAAATGTTAGAATTCAAAGTTATTATCTCCGTTGTTGCAAATTTTCATTGGCTAGGATTACTTTAAATAATTCTTAATAGTTTGGAAGCGAGTTTGTCAACACCTCCCTTTCTATTGATAAAGAGATTTATCTAGTAGACTAATGAACAGGAATCGGTAGCAGAAATCCTTACTTCGTTTCGAATCTATCAGGTCGTCAAGAAATTTATGTCGCTTTTTTTTAAATGAAAAAAACCCGACAACTTATATATCAAAACAAAACATTTATTAAATGAAATAGTCTCCATTCTTACCGATAATGCTTTTCCATCTTACAATCTTATGCCCTGATTAAAGAAATCACTTGGTTTTGAAGCAAAAATATGTCGATGTCCCCTTTTAAC